CCTTATATAAGTCAAAATATTTATATTCCTATTTTTAAATATCAATAAATATACACACATTCTTACTTTTATGAGTACCATCAGCACTCTTACACGTTTCTTCCAACTACCTGGACTTTAAAACCATTAAATGTATAAATATTTATTTCAATATCTTAAAAGGATAGTATCTGGTTATTTATATAAATATTCAACATCATATATATTCCATATATTATTTGTCATGTTGATTTCACATTAAATTTATTGCATGTTTTTAATTTTTCATGAGGTTTCAATAAAAATTGTGCCAGTCACTTTGAGACCATGAGACACCATTAGAATACTTATGACTGTCACAACCTACTCACTGAACATATTGTAATCTACAAACTTTACTTTTACTTTAACTGACTGTCGCCATTAACACATTAACCTAAAGTTTCTCTCTTTCCAACTGAAAAAAATATAAATATACTGATATAAACTAAGTCATCTTGTAAAAACGCAATTACAGAAGTGCGCGTTACTCAAGAGTCAACGATAATTATGCATTAGATTGCGTATATTCACTTGAATCATCTATAACGTGTTTCTAGATAAATGTTTTATTAGCACTAATGCCTTCAATCATGTGATCACAATTAAATATACATAAACTCCACATACATATAAATTAATCATGAAAATCTTGAGAGCTTACTGACATTTCAATATACTGACGCTACTCAAAGAACCGTGATGATCCAATCTCGTGATGGGTCGTCGTTCACTTCAACGTACACTTGTTACGAAACAACAAATCTCCTGATAATGCAAAGTTCATTAATGAACCTCATTCACTTCAAGATGAAGCTCATTAACAAATGTGCATTTAATGCCTTCATTAGATAAATAATTAATACTAATTAAAACTTGTTGCTATGTGTATCCATGGTATATCCAAGTAATTGGTTCAGAATGAATGAAAGAGAACAGGACATGATCCTGAAGTCATAACTATGGGACTGTAATAATAATGTAATGTGGAAGTCTACAAATGAAAAAAACTGCATTGAAGCTTAAATCTCAAATATGTTCGACTTTAAAAAATATTTTTTTCAGACATTAGGCCTGTACATAAAATTATAACTTTCTAAAATTATCAAAGTTGAGAACCAAATTTGCTAGCTTTAAATAAAATACATTTTAAAACTTTTTAAAATACTAATTCTGCTTACATTTTTAATCTACATATAGATTTTTTATTGCCAGTAGCAAATATAATAGAGAATTTTCTTTCTGTTCTCTTCCACTTTGCTGTCACCTACACAGCACCTCTAGTGTTATTCAACACCATTGTTTATTGTTAACAATTTAACAGTTTATTCATGCTTCTGCCATTTAAACATATTTATGATTTTTTTGGATTGTCATTATGAAATTTATTCCATAGAATTAGTGAATACAGTACTGTATACATTCTACCTTGGAAAACCAATAGAAGAAACAAGATTATTATGAAGTAAGGAATGGAAAAATCCTAGTACCAACAAGTTTTAATTCCAATAGTCCCAAGGTTGTTATTGTCAACCTATGTTCGTTTTAACAGGTGCCTTATTCTGCACACATGCTGTGTCTCCCCCACCTATCTAGGCTGAGCTCCACATCTACAAGTCTCATTCAATAACTATTACACTCAACTCATAACTCTCAAGTTATAAATTCTCCATCTTTATCAAAACAGAGATGGGAAAAGTAAACTTGAATATTTGCACTTGTAACAAAGAGGTAGCAAGCATGATGAAATATTGAGAACAAACATTATTTTGATGTGTTTCCACTGAGAATCTATCGGTATACCCATTAGGGGGGATAGTTTTGTTCAAACAATTTTTATTGTTCAAGTTGGTGGGTAATAACTCATGAATATTTCACTGCTTCCGTTGGTGCTGAGACAACTCCCTAGTGTAAGTAACTGACATAGTTTCTCTGGTTAAAAATTACAACACACAGTTTCTTCAAACAGTTGCCTTTGAATATTTTACAAAACTTTTTCATTTCAAATAATAAATGACATATTAGCTAATATTCTCAATCAGTTTGTGGAAGTTGGTATTTTTATTAAAATAAATCTTGTATTACTTACAAGTTCCTCTATATGTTTTAACTTTTACAATTTAACAAAAACACTAATCAACATTTAAACATTGTCTACTTATCTATTATTATTATTATTATTATTGTAACCAAAACTTTTCCCCAATTTTGTTTAAATATTCAAATTCTCTGTATCTTAGCAGTTGCCAATTATTTCTTCAGACACCCATTCATTTGTACTACACATAAATTTTCCTTCTGTAGCCTGGTTTCAAACTGTCAATAACAAGACTTTTATATACAAATGATAAGAAATGATCAGATTTTTCTAAAGTAAGATTTGTTATGAAAATTTTAATATTGGCCTACTAGCATAATAATAAACTTCCTATAATAGCATTGCACAAGAAAAGTAATTGATAAGAAAGACATACTGAATAATAAATATAAACAACAATCAAAAGTTTGATGTTAATGTCATCAATCTTGGTAATAATCATGACTCATAAAAAAATCATCTCGTAATCTCGTAAACTTAAAATCATTTAATGATAATTCAACTTTTAAATTACTAGCATGGAATTCATTAAAAAAAAAAAAATTACATTCCACACTGTCCATCACTGGGTCATAAATGATTCTCAGTAATGGTAGAATGCTCTCTATGAAGTTTGGTATAATCAATAAGTGTGCACTTCAGCACTACACAGAAATTGCATTCTCTATAATTTTCCAGATAATCACAAAAAATTACTTGGAGGGTGGCGATCAGTCTAAGCAGATTTAGGTACAAATTGAAAAATTAGTTGTCTTTGTGTCTTTAATTAGTGTTGATTGATTCAAGCAATTTCTTTTTTTCATTTGGCCATAATATTTATTTTGAATGGGTTCTAATTTACCTTGCTCTATGGATGTCATGTTACCACCACTAGTCAACAAACGACGATGTGGCAGTGTGTCTGCTCTGTCTTTCAGCAGACCAGTATGAAAAGTAATAAACTAGAAATAAAATATTTGCGATACATACAGGTTTGCGATACATACAGGTTTGAGCTTTCGAACACGAACTACAAAACCATGTACGTTTTGGAAACCATGCATGATTTGGAGTAGGAAAACAACGTAAAATAACGTAAATTGTCTTTTCAGACAATTCATACTTACATAAGATAGAAAATATATTATGTAGAAGTAATGTAAATTTAAACTTACGATTTTCTGCTTGGTCTGGGACAAACTGTTCTGTTTCTTGGTCACTATATAAACCTAGAAATAGATAAACATATAAGAGAAACTATTTAGCCTCATCATAAAATAGGTCATTTTCATATGTATCAAGATTATTGATATTATTGATTCTGATTGATTAATAGTTATTGATATTGATTGAATTTCAATTCATCTCTACTTGTGTTATGTTGTTGCCAAATAAATAATAAATTAAAGCAAACTTTAAAGATTACGTCATTGGTATCACCAAACAGTGAACAATCATACAATAATAACAACTTTATCATGACATCATTAGTGTTGACCTCCATTCAATTTCCATTCACCTTTACAGAGTTACATCATATTTCAGTTCTTAAACTTGCAATCTAAATGTTTCCACCTGCCTACATTTTCACAATGCACATTCACAATGTTAATAACCTAGAGTCTGTGATGCAACTGTTTATAACTGTCTACATCATTTTTGAATGGTATAAAGTTTGTTCCTCTCTCATATCACCCCACCGATACTAATCAATATAGTGCGATCACATTTATTGATGAGTTATTAACCGTTAGATGTGACAAGACAAAGAACAAGCGGAAGTCTTGAAGTACATTCTAGTCCAGTAGGTAGAGTCAAAAGATTTTAATTCTAGGGAGGAAGCAAGAGACGTGTACGAGTACAAGCATTGGCGATCAATAAGGCATTTCTTCACTACACAACAACTACACTTCTTAATATCATCATACAACAGGAAACAATTCTTAACTATAATGATTTTCGTACACCTGTTTTTTTTAAGACTAATTCAAAAGCGCTCTGTAGTTATGAAGCATCACAAATAAACTACAGGGTCGTACCAATTTATTATCTAATTATTTTACTCTTTGCTAATATTCATTTCAGAAAAAAAGGTAGTATGGCAAAATGTAAAAGAAACTCATATTCAATAGTGTTTCTACCAATCAAATCATAACTTTATGTTGTAGGCATATAATAACATAGACCGATGGATATTAAATATATGCTATTATAAAAATAGTAATTTATACCAAAACGATCAACATTATGTTTGTGTTCTCCTACAAAGAGGTCAAATGGGTAAAATTCTATAATAAGGCCACATATTACATATAATACATATAAAAACAAGAGAATACATAGTAACCTACTAAATAATGAGAATGACAAACATTCTCAAGTAGACTTCCTTAAAATAACACCATTAAGCCTAAGTTTTATGACCTGACACATCATAATCCATAATTATATACTTTTATTAATATCAATATTATAATTTTACCTAAGTACTGTTAATATTTACTTATATCATTGACTAAACTCAAAATATGGAACTAAAATTCTGTTCACTTCTATAAGATATCATATCGTCTCATATAAATGAACTCTGACACTTGTGAGATTCTCTTGACTTTCATTCTCTAGACTTTCATTCTCTACTAAAGCTATTCACCAGCAGAATATTTTAGCATAATAATACCCATTGTTTTCCATTACAATATATTACAAACGCTCCTAAACAGGTAATTTGATAACTGCATGAACACATAGTAGGTTTTGGGTTAGCCTAACTTAGTTCAATTGTAATATGAGACTGTATAATTTTACTAAAGAGCTTGTATACTAATAATAGGAAATTTGCAATTAAAAGTTTTTTTTATTATATAATATGCATACTGGTACATCACAAACATACCATTTATTATGGACATAGGCCTATTATGTACTTGGAAATCAGAGGTACAACCTTTATTATTAGGCTAAAAATAAATATTAGAGAATATGATGATATATTAGAAAGAAGACTGCGGATAATTTTGAGATGATTACTAGCTATTCCAGTATTTTAGATTGATTTTTCTGTTCATTTTTACATCTTAATTTGGAGCAAGGTTCTAAATCCCAGAAGGCAATTATCACATGATTAGCTGGAAATTATATAGGAATTAATCAAAATCTTTAATTTGGGTTAACTAACTATCTTATTGGATTTCAAGTGAACTAATGGGTTGCCAAAAGAATTCTCAAAACAACTATGTTCTGTAAAATGAACATGATTGGAATATGAACTTAAAATTTAAAGCAATTATTATTATGTTATTTAAAGGTCATTGGTTTGATTTCTGAAGCAGCCTATAGTATATTTAATTTAGTCTGCTTTCTTTACTGTTGTTACCAATTACCAACACAAAGTCATTTTTCTAAATTTATATACTTTCAGAACAAGAATATGGAAGTATCAAATAACAATTAATGGAATACTATACTATTGCAAAATAGAACCCACTGAAGTTTCACAGTTTTGCAAAAAGTATATGGA